ATTCAGTTTCTTTGTTCATGGAAATGTAGAATTGCACTAGTGGAATGTGTCCGAGCAGCAAGTGAAAGGGAGAATGGGTGTGAGGAAAGGCCGTGGATTCCAAAGGGTCTGAATTAGAGCAGCATTTGGCCCTCCACAGGAAGCAAAAGATTTGACTTATTCTGTGATAGATGTTTCCTATCGGATAGTTGAAGCAAAATGCAGGACAATGTAGCACTTTAAAGACTAACAAGATGGTTTATTAGATGATGTAGTCTTTAAAGTGCTACATTGTCCTGCATTTTGCTTCAACTACCCCAGACTAACACGGCTACATTTCTATCCTATCGGATAGTTTTCATCCTTTTGCTGAGCATCCCTTCTTGGTGCAGGATAAAATGCATGACTCCCCAATCCTTTCAGATTAGCTTTATCTAGCGTCTGTCTGTTCTTTATATCCTTTTATATTGTTTCTATTAGTTGACCCCCCTTCACAAGTGCAGTATGTGGTCGGTCTCTGACATGTTTTGGCTTTTGTTTTGCAGATGAAAATGTCGTCTGCTTCACCAGGCATGAACCGATGGGTGTTTGCGGGGCTATAACTCCAGTAAGTACAAAACCACCTGTTGGTTTTCTGCCAAGAGTTGCTTCTACCCTGAGGGTCACCTGCATTTACAAAAATACCTCTGCCTGCCCCCACGCCATTGCAGTCATTGAGCTTCTAGATGAGAAGGCGGGACTGGAGGGACTTCCCTTTGGAGTCTGTTTAATGTTTCTTCTTGACTCATCAGACAGAATTAACCTATGGCAATATAAGCTGCTCTTTGTAAGACCCAGCCTTCTATGCTAATCAAGTGTCAGTCTCCTATATGGCGCTTATGCTAAAGTCGCCAGTGACCAATCCAGCATCAACTGCTCTTCCTACCTTTTTGAGCCTCTTCTTACTGGGCATTTGCGAGCTAATTCCCCTGACGGTTACTCTTGCTAGCCCGCATTACTGTTTTTTAATTTTAAAAGGTGGTATTTGTTAGTTTGTGTTTCCTTGTTCCTATAGTTTGGTTGTTACAGCTGATCAGTAGCATTTTTCTTTGCCTGATGGGTTTGTTTCTGATGCTGAGAAACTCTGGCTAACACTCAGAATTCCTCAGGTCTTCATCAGGTACCGCGTTCTTTATTTAAACAGGCAGCCAGCCAGACTTTGCTTTACGGGAGCCATAATGGTTATAAAGTGAACATCCGTCAGAGGAAGCTCTTGGTTAGACTCTACCAGAGAGACTTTTGTGCTGGGATGCTGGAGGCTTTGAGCCTAACCCAGTTTGCATTAACATCAAAGGAAGTTTGCCACTACCTTTAGGGGGATCCAGGGCCCTCACGACTGATTTCTGACCTAGATTTTGGAGTTGAATAGGCTGTTTGCTTTTGTGTGAGAGAGACAACTGCAGGGAGATTGGGAGATGTCGTAGGTGTGTGTCTTGTGTGTAATAGCTTGACATGTGGATCAAGAACTTGCTTTGGGAATGAAAGAGGTCTCACTCTGTTTTACGGAGCCTTGATGGGGTTATGTCTACACTGGGATGGTTTGGTGACAAAAGTGCTGTCGACATGCAAAAATGAAAACTAGTCACTTTTATTTTTCTGCCTCCCATCGATTTCATGGCCAGATGGCTAGTTCCCCTATCGACAGATAGAGCAAAGCAATGTGGGTAAGTATCCCACAGTGCAGTGTTGTGGGAAGGCGGAACTGATTTCTGCGCATCTTGGGATTCTCTCCAAGTTCTCCCACAGCATTCTCAGCTGCCGGGAGTAGCATCGTGAGTCCATGCTAAGGAATGTTAAAGCAGGACAGCAGTCTCTCAGTCCTCCCCCTGCAGCAGCAGTCTGCCTGTTGCTGTGTTTCTAGCAGGGCAGAATGGGAGCATTCGGAGCATTCCAATTATTTGCTTTTTTTCTTTGTTCCCCAAATGGCTATCAGATGCTTCCCAAAGCGTTGGAAGGGGAGAGTCACATGCCTGCAGGGCAGCAGAGATCACAAAACACTGAGCATTTGGAAGGCATTATGGGATACTGGCAGAAGCCAGTTCTCACAACAAAACCAACAGAGTCCATGCTGGCTCTTTATTGTCAACAAAGGGAGGAGAAAAGACAAAAGTCTGTCATGGGAGTGGAAGTTTTTTGTTGCCAAAACTGGGTGTTTTTCCTGACAAAAGTTGCATTGTAGTGTGGACATTCTGTTTTGTCAACAAAAGACAGTTTTTGATGACAAAACATGCCGGTGTAGACAAGGCCTGAAGAACTGAGTATTATCCTTTGTGAATGAGCTGCATTCCAGTGACTCAAGAGTCCAATGAAAACAAACCTCTTGCGCTTCTTGAATTAGAGACATAAGTCTGAAAGGGACTCTTAGGTCATCGAATCCCATTCCCTGCTACCACAACCAATACTGTTTGTGCACTTAAGCTCCAACTTCCATGGACCTCTGATTCAAATATCTCTATGTCCATCCTCCAAACAGACCTGATTGTGGATTTATGCCCCTCAGAAATTCTGTTGTGGCTCTTTGCAGGCAGGAGGTTTGGAAAGCCAAGCCACCGAAGCATCCACTCGGTTCTTCTCTCTCCTCCCCTCCTCCCCCCATGATATCTCAAGATCGTATCTAACCATTTAACCTCTGGGAATTGTACACAAATATTGGGCTTAGCCTGGGCAGTGGTTATATTTGCAGTTTAACATGACTTTATGGGCACCCTGAGGCATATTGTTCCACTGTAAGGGCATAGTCATAATCAGGGCTTGACAAATAGTGTAATCTACTCGCCCATGGCGAGTAGATTACACCCTGGAAGAGCCGGCGCGGAGAGATCTGTGCATGCGCAGAACGATCTGCACATGCACAGAGCGCAGAACCGCGCGGCTGGTGAGCGGGGTTCGCTGCTGCCCGGTGAGCCCTGGTCATACCCAAAATTAGTGGCCTTGTTTTTTTATTATGTAATTCCTTTGATCTCATCAGAGTTTAACCTGGGATGAGCCTGGATCATACAGAAACTGAATATAGTTTAGTAGGGTTAGAAACTGCTCCTTAGATTACTAACATTAACATTTTAAAGGTGACCTTTATTATTCCTTGTTCTTTTGTTTATTACTATATCACTCTGTGGGGGGGATTAAACTAGGCCTGTCCTTTCATCTCCAGGCTTTGCTTTGTTAACACTGCTGAGTTTGGGTTTGCAAAGAAATCCTTCAAACTTTCATTTGCATTGAGAATGGGGGAGGCGGAGAAGAAGGGAGGTGGGGGCAAAACTAGGAAAATGTTCTATTAAAACCTTGAAGCTTAAAAATATATGGATAGATTCCCCGTACCTTTTGAGATTTGTTTAGCTTGGTATCAATTTATATGGGACTGGCCTATGTTCCCAGAATGATACTGACCTCCTTTGTAAAGTGCTTTGGTTCTACTAAGGAAAAGCTTTGTATTGGTACATCTACACTGCACACTTATTTCGAAATAAGCTATTCCAGAAGAAATACACTACAGGGAAGCCTGAAAATTAGTCCGAGGCAGGCTTCCCTAATGTAGACCTGCTACCTCGATTCCCTGGGGGGAGCTCTTTTAAAATAGCAGCAGCAGTGGAGTGCTATTCCGCACTACTGTGGAGTGCTATTCCAAAATAGCTATTTTGGAAGAGGAGTTTTTCTTGTGGAATGAGGTTTACAGAAGTCGGGATAAGCCATCTGTTTTGAATTTATTTCGAAATAACGGAATTGCTGTGTAGACACTCGTATCATTATTTTGGAATAAAGGCTGTTATTCTGAAATAATGCTGCTGTGTACATTCACCCTATGAGAGGGGTTATAGCATGATGGTTATCCAAAATCTGGCTTTCTGGCTACTGTTTTCACTTATACCGGCGCAGTACCACCCTGGGGCACGGAGGGTCCTGGCAGGTTTGGAGCACACTTCCACGGTGTGGATTTCTTTGGCCAGTGTTAAACTTTTAATCATGGACTCTAAACCTGAGAATCAGATGAAGTAATCAGTGCTTTGTAATTACAAACTAACCACAAAAGATCAAACCTAATGGAGTTATTTGGAGACATTTAATGTGTGTAAGCATGAGGTTAACCTCATTAACATACAGGGAACCTTGAGAAATGTATTGCCGCAAATAGCCACATCAGCAAATTCGAAGTCCAGTTGTGATTTCCTGGACAGCCATCCATGCGCACGGGGCCAGGATTCAGTCTAATATGGCCCTCTAACACTTAGGTGTGGCGGGGAAGAAGGCCTGAGGTATAAATCCAACTTTTTGTTGAGACGCTGGAGTGACAAAATAGGTGGTAACCCAGAATAACATTTCCTCTTCACAGCTTCACTACGAATGGCTTGAGCAGGCCTGCTGCTGGGGGTGGGGGCAAAAGGGGCAGCTGCCCCAGGACCTGGGGATTCAAAAGAGCACTGCAGTAGTGGTGGTGGCTGGAGTCTTAGACCCTTTAAATTGCCACTGAAGCCCCACACTGAGCAGCACGGAGGGCTGCCTGGGGGGCTAGCCCCTGCCCTGCCCCTTCTGCTTGAGGCCCCACCTCTTCCAGGGCCGCTCTCCCCCACACACTTTGCCCAGGGGCCCAGCGGGTCTGTCAGCCCCACTGGCTGTGAGCATGCACAATGCAAGTATGTACGATGCCAGAAACAACAGTTCTTATGCATATTGATTATTCTATTTCCATTATATTTGTCTGTACTAACTCCAACTCATTAAGGCCTTGTGCGCTCCACCAGCCTCCAACTTGGTAAAACTTCTTCCTTCGCTGTCTAAGACAACCTGTTAGTGACTGGTGCAATTTGCACGCTAAACTTTTTCCAAAGGTGACACCTCCGTAACCCACCCAAGCGCCGTACACTTCCATGAGTCCTTTGTAATGGTGGATATCTTCCTACTCATTTAACTTTCTCTGTAGCCAATAGATGCCACTGGAAGCAAAGGGGACCTCTGGACAGAGGCAAATAGGGATCTAACTAATGCTAATATGATCCATTTTATACTCTCTTTCAGTGGAATTTTCCATTGCTCATGCTTGTTTGGAAGATGGCACCAGCACTGTGCTGCGGGAACACGCTGGTTGTTAAACCAGCTGAGCAGACACCTCTCACATCCCTCTACCTTGGTTCCTTAATCAAGGAGGTAAGAAATCTTATCAGTATGTTCAGGGGGTTTATGCAAGATGCTGTTTCTGATAGGCACCAAGTGCAGTTTAAAAGACAGCTGTCGCCATCATCTGCGCCCAGAAATGTTGCTGCCCTCTCCATTCAGTGCCAGGCCAAGAAACAACCTTCTTCTTTCAAACTTCTCTCTCTCTCTCTCTCTCTCATGAATGTCATAAGTGCCTTGGTAAATTACGAAAGTGTCCAGTGCTAGGCATGCAAGTAGTGCTAGTAATTTCAATGGGATCAGACTAGCCACATACTTAAAGATGGACATACGTTTATGTATCTTGCTAAGATGGTGCCTAAATCCCCAGCTATGTCATTAGCATCTCTTTTTTTTTCTACTACATTTAGTGAGACTATCTGAAGTTAAATTCTGCCATCCTTATTCATGTTAGCATAGTTATCCCAGAAATCATGGGACACAGTGTGATTCTACTTGGCAGAAGTACAGGTGGCAAAATATTGCTCTTAGAATCTGGGACCAGACCCCTGCAGCTGCTTCATGCACAGAAATGGTCCTACATCCTTGCAACCATTTGATGACCGCCGATTTATGGAAGTGTACCTGGTGCTTAGTAGAGCGAAGATATAGCCCCTGTAACAAGCATGGGTGTATGACCCAGGACCCCCTAATCCTGCACGGAAAATAATGCAGGGATAGCCATGTGCCCAAACAGTTCTTACTTGTAAGACCCAAGATCCATCCAGGAAAACACTCGTCAGATGAATGACCCAAATCCTTGCAAGCCAAGGAGTTACCTTCACCCCAGTGCAAGCCCACTGATGTCAATGCAGTTAAGCCAAGGATGAACGTGCTCCTCTCATGGGTGCCACCGCCTCCCTTGACTCCTGATGGCTCAGTCCTGCAGTCTGTACACACACGTGCCTGTTTTGCACTGCCTCCCCTAAACAAGTTAATTGTGCTTAAGTGATACTGAGTTCGATAGAACATGTCTCAAGTCATACTTGGTTTTATGTACTTTGCTGAGTTTTTGTGGAAGGCGGTCCCAAACACAATGATTACTTGGCCCCATGGATCTCTTGCATGCGCTCTGTCTCTCAGTGGTCTATCAAATAATATATAGAAGATTAAACCAGCATTCCCTGTAGAGTGAGTATAAGCAGCATTCATTGTTGACCATTCCCCAAGCTGGGACAGGCAAGCTAGACAGCCATCAACACCCTAAAGACTTACCCAGAAGAAAGTTGAATTTTCCAAGGCAGTTTATAACCAAACCATATTCCTTTTTTGCTGTATCAGAATTTTTTCTACGTTACATGAATTACTGGGGCAGGTGAATTTTCTTAGTGACCCCCTGAATGTGTGTACTAGAAGAATCCACAAGAAAGGAAGGGAACCGAACAACAATCAGCTCATGGGATACTAGGCAAGCAGGTTGTGTGCCTGCGTGTCCCATCAGAAATGGAGACTGGCCAGCCTAGAAATCCGCTCTTCACAGCGACCCACGTTTCAGAGAGCAGTCAAGGAGCCTGCTGGGCCAAGACATTGGCTTGCATTTCACTAGAATTTTACCAAAGTTTGGCCTACTGCCATTGGGCCAGAACACAAGGTGGCTGTTTTTAGGTTAATACATTATAAATGTGGCAAAATCTTGCACAGATCTCTTACCAGCTGGTCTCTTAGCACTAGTGGGGGAAAAACCATATCGTCCAGTGGTGTCATACTGATACCTTAATCCTCCTGGCCCCTGAAGAGACGCAAGAGACAGCCTCAGGATCTTTCTGCACAAAACACACTTTCAAGGTAAAATCTGGCCCCGTAATCTCCAGCTGACTAGGGTCACGTAGCTGAAGGCCACGTTTGGGCAGAAGACTTTTGTTGTAACAGCAGAGCTGCAAAATGCAAATCCTCCAGTAATTCCCTCCTGGTGATTCCAGGCATTTTTTAACAGGGAGCAAGCTGCCACAGTGCTGGAAAACCATTTTGAAAAGGTTCTGAATCTGGCAACTAGTCTGTTTGGATTTCAAACTTTTGTGTGCTAGATGCCTTGGTCTTTAAAAAGCACTGAGCATACTTCAGGATTTAATGAACATCTGGGCCCTGATTCTGGTTTCAAGGCAACCACTTCTGTGAGAGAAGCTGTGCGTGTAGTTTGCAGGGGGTTAACTGACTGGGGGCTTTAAGATGCTCAGCTGATTCACGTTTATAAAGTGCTCGGCTAGTTTCTATAGTGTTTTCTATCTTTGAGTGATAGGGTTGCCAAGTGTCCGGATTTGAATCCGACAGTCCAGTATTTGAGCTTTCTGTTCTGGAAACAAATTGAGAAAATATAAATGTCCGGTATTTTCTAAATAAGATGTAATGTAGATTGTGATGTCCGGTATTTTTGTTGAAACCATCTGGCAACCCTATTGAGGGAGGGCAGATCCTCCATATAGAAGCATAGTTTAGGGTATGTCTACACTACCCTCCTAGTTCGAACTACCTAGTTCGTGCCCCGTGTAGCCGCGCTGCACGGGGTTCGAACCAGCCGGGTTTTAAAAATGGCGGCTCCCCGCTTATGCAAATGAAGCCCGGGACTTGAATGTCCCAGGCTTCATTTGCATAAGCGGGGAGCCGCCATTTTTAAAACCCGGCTGGTTCGAACCCCGTGCAGCACGGCTACACGGAGCACGAACTACCGTTACTCCTCGTGAAATGAGGAGTAACAGTAGTTCGAACTAGGAGGGTAGTGTAGACATACCCTTAGTTTTCTTTGCCTAAGAACTGGGATATACTTCTCTTTAGTGGAGGCTGAGAGGAAATCTGAATAGTCCTTATTACTCCATTTCCATAGCACAGTCTCTAAATTCATTTTCAGGTGGGCTTTCCTCCTGGGGTGGTTAACATCGTGCCAGGATATGGCCCCACCGCTGGGGCTGCCATATCTGCCCATCTGAATGTTGACAAAATAGCTTTCACTGGATCAACGGAGGTAAGTGATCATTTTCTGCTTAAACTTGCCGTTAGCCTTGCGGTGTTACCGGATACTGTTCTTCACGAGGAGCACTGTTTGTCTTGTAGAAGTGCTGTCTGTGGAAACTTGGATCGTTGTCATTTCAATCCTACTCGGTGCTTGGAAAAAAAAATTGGCTTGGTGGAATCTTTCAGAGGCTTTTGGCAACCATCTGTCTCTGCTCCCACTGAGATCAATGACCACTGAACTGAAGCAGAGTTAGGACAAAGTTTTAATGCTTTTGAAAATCTCTCAAGTTTTGTAACCGTATTCTTGCCGTAACTCTGAATGGTTGTCCTTCCCAAATGGTGCAGCTGGGGCCTCTGGTGTTGGCCACTGTCGGCAGACAGGATGCTGAGCTAGATGGACCGTTGGTCTGACCTAATATTATTTATTTAAAATATTTTTACCCTGCCTTTCTATTTAAAATATTCAAGGCGGCTTACAAAAAACACAATACAAATATATATAAAAATTTAAAATATGAGACCCCAGAGGGACATAACCAGCTAAAAACATATAGAGAGGAGGAACACACACATAAACTCAAACATTAATAAAAGCACAAATTAAAAGGGTGGCTTTAGCCTGATGCCGAAACAACACTAGCGTTGGTGCCACGTGAATATCCCAGGGAAGAGAATTCCACAGCCTGGGAGCAAAAGCTGAGAATGCCCTGTTCCGCGTAGATGTTAATCTTATCTCTACAAGTAGGGGAACACGAAGCAAAGCCTCCCTAGCTGGCCTCAATCCCTGGGCAGGTTCATATGGGAGAAGACGGTCCTTCAGATATCCCGGACTCAACTCATTTAAGGCTTTATAGGTCATAACTAAAACCTTAAATTGTGCCCGGAAACATACCAGAAGGCAGTGCAGCTGCCGAAGCATTGGCACAATGTGCTCCGTATAACTAGTGTTAGTTAAAACTCGAGCAGCTGCATTCTGGACCAGTTGGAGTTTCCGAAGGCTCGTTAGAGGCAGCCCCACATAAAGTGCATTACAATAATCCAGTCAGGATGTAACAAGAGCATGGATCACTGTGGCCAAATCATGCTTGTTCAGTAAGGGTTGCAGCTGGCGGATCAAACAAAGTTGCCCAAAGGCACTCCTGACCACCGAAGAAATCTGATTTTCAAATGTTAAAAAAGGGTCCAGGAGGACTCCCAAGCTGCATACCTGTTCTTTCAGGGGGAGAATAATCCCATCTAGAACAGGTGCCACGCCACATTCCTGAACAGATGGCTTCCTGATCCACAGGACCTCAGTCTTATCTAAGTTCAGCTTCAGCTTATTTGTCTTCATCACTACCTCCAGACACTGATTTAGATCAGTCACCACCACACCTGGTTCTAATGTCACAGGGAAACAGAGTTGGGTGTCATCTGCATATTGATGGCACCATCCTCCAAAACTCCTTATGACCTTTCCCAGCGGCTTCATGTAGATATTAAACAGCATAGGGGACAAGTATGGCTGTTTCTTATGTGCCGGTTCTGGAAACAAAGCGATGAACTGGAGAGGTCATTAGTACGACTTAATCACATCCTCTAAAAAGCCAGTTTATCAACATTGGCCACCAAAACTGCATAACTATAAACAGTGTTGTATTTATATTAAATAGTTCTGCTGCTGTTTAAATCTCATGCTAGTTACCGAGTCTTGGGGTCAAATCCTGATCCCATTCATAGAGATGCCTGCCTGCTTTGAAAAAGAAAATGATCTCTCCAGGGGCTTGGGGTTAGCAGTGTGGGGCAAGGGAGAGGCGCATGCCTTGTCAACGTGTTGCTTTATTACTACCGAGCAAACAATTGACAACCAACTTGAATGTCACTTTCAGTGAATCTTCAAGCTATGGGTTGAATCTCTCTAGTTCAGCACCCTCAGGACCTGACTGGTGCTGAACCAGAGAATTTGCCGAACCACGGGAGGTCAATATTGTCTAGCAGCATTACTAATATTTCCACTACTTACTGGGCTCTTAGAAGACATTGAGGGGTAAATTAGAGCTAAATAACCACTCAGAACGCTGTGAGCCAGGACTGGTGGCTGTAAACAAACTTTATGGGACTGCGGGAAACTTGGCCACACCCATGATAAGTGGACATCGGCCTCGCTAAAATCATGCTGGACCACAAATGGTGCCAGACCAGTGAGTGCTGCACTAGAGAGGTTCAACCTGCAGATATTTGCTACTAAAACCTGAGCACTCTAATGGCAGGTAGAAAGAGAACACACACAGGTGGTGAATGCTGCTGAATCAAAATTTGCCTACAAGTTTAAATAGTTTTTTTTCCCACTAGTTACTTAGCTCCTTTGCCCTTGTAATTTATATTGCAAGAAAATCTATACTGATAGATGCATGTGTCTTCATTTGCTGCATGACAAAGGGCAGCCTCTGATAAAAGGAAGTGCTTATGCCAAAGATTTACATGTGTTGGCTGTTCATCCAGGCCATGTGTTGGACACATTTGTTTGTTTTTTCACTTTCCTTTGATTACTAACATCCTACTTGAGCATTCTTCCATTTTGACATTGCACCACAGGCTTTTTCTAATTTGCATAATTATGACAAATTACACTGAGCTGCCTTCTCCAACACACAAGGTGTGTCTCATTTCAAAGGTTCAAAGACCTGCCGAAAGCCAAATGTCTTGCATTTCACAACCATACCATCTAGTGGTTTATCATACATATGTGCATTCCTACTGATTATCCCAGGGAGGGGGAGGAGGGAATGCTGCCTGGAGCATCCTTCTTCCTTGTGAAGATTATGGCATAAATATGAATGGGATTGGTGGCATGTTCATGTGGAGTATTGTCCTTTCTTTGATACGCTGTAAAATACAAACATACATTATTCTTAGCCTACCAAGACAATTATTTCTATAATGAAAACCAGGTGCTCCCTATTACAAAACCAAGAAAGGCTTGAAAAACAAGAAAGTGGCTTATCTTGAATCCACTTTTTATTTAAAAAATGAACGGCTCTGTAATTGAAAGAAAATGCACCAGAATCCTTTGTTTTAATGCGCTGGCAGAAATCTTGGCTCCATCCCAGCGAGTAGGAGGAGTTCCATCAATTGCACTGGAGTCAGGATTTTTATTTTGAATTGTGGGAGGACATTTGATAACTGAAGGGTTCTGATACAGTAATGAGGGACATATTGAGTACAGTTAGGTAGGGCGCTAGTTCTAATCAGCTTCACTTTCTGGTTCTTTTGCATTAGCATCTTGCTTTAGTATTCGGGTACAAATACGGAAGAGGGATGGTCAAATCACAATGAACATGGGGTAGGGAGAATGAAAACATTTTTATGAATTAGTATTTGCTTTTAACACCTATGATTTTAAGTTGTGATCTTCAGTTCCCTGACAGTGTCTCCTTCTAGCTTCCTGCTTTGCAGCAGAGAGTTAGTTTCTTAGTTTATTTTCAATCAAGCAGCTACCATATAATATTATCTCTCTGAATTCACTGTAAAGTTAATAGGGTATGTTAATTTTCAGCAGAAGACAGCTTTCTGTTTCTGTTAGCTTACCAGGACAGCCCTCAAGGTAACTGGAAGGTTCTGCACTGCTAAATAAGTTTGCAGATGACACTAAGCTAGGGGGAGAGGTAGATGCGTTGGAGCGTAGGGATAAAGCCCAGAATGAGCTAGACAAATTAGAGGATTGGGCCAAAAGAAATCTCATGAGGTTCAACAAGGACAAGTGCAGAGTTCTGCCCTTGGGATGGAAGAAACCCAGGCAATGCTACAGGCTGGGGACCAACTGGCTAAGCAGCAGTTTGGTAGAAAAGGGCCTGGGGATTACAGTGGATGAGAAGCTGGATGTGAGTTAACAGTGTGCCCTTGTAGCCAAGAGGGCTAATGGCATATTGGGGTGCATTAGTAGGAACGTTGCCAGCAGATGTAGCGAAGTGATTATTCCCCTTTATTCAGCACTGGTGAGTAGCAATGTAAGCGATAAGCCTAAATTTATCAGGTAGTCAAGTCGACTACTTGCATTCCCAGCCCCTTGCTGCCTCTTAAAAGCTGGTTCCCCCCAGCACCGTCTCCACAGTGCTGCCTGCCATCCCCCAGGCTGCTGCC